AAAAGAAACAGCAGACGCAGCAGTTTCCAGTTTGGGAGATCCGTGTCATGTGACATTTTTATGGGCCATTACTCTTCTATTCTTCTTTCGCCCCACTCCGAATCAAGTGCCCAAGGCTCAGAAGGGGCTTCTCTTTTTGAGAAAAAGCGACCGAAACGCGACGTTTTTGCATCATGTAAGCGACCCTTCGGTTGTCTTAAGAAACCTCTTTAGCTGTGTGAAAACTCCCGTTTTCTTTCTTTGTCTACTTTTGTCGGGGCCCTCCTCTTGTTATCGTGCTAAGGGGATAGGAGAGTCAACTCCCCCTCTGTTTTTCTCTTTCCACCTTCTTTCTCTCTTTACCGAGATTCCGTCACAAGCTTTTGGGTTCAGTCTATGTGCCCCCCCTCCTCCTCTTTCCGCCTTAACTTGGCGGCGCTACTCAAAAATCATATTGTTACAATATGCTTCAAATACAAAAAAAAAAAAAAAATCGAAATAACAAAAGAATGTAACGAGTAACTTGTGGTAATCCGTTACTAAAAAAGTAATGGAATTACGTTAAAAATTACATTTCTAGAAAAGTAACGGATTAATTACAAAATTACTCAAAAAGTAATTAATTACAAGTAATCCCGTTACTTGTAACGGATTACTTCCAAGTCTGCGCTGTTAGATATTTCACCCATTTTCGCGTGTTGTCTTCCCCCACGCGATGCATGTTGAATTATAAGAAACGGTAAAACCGCTGGGTTGCGTCTACGTACTTGCCGAAACTAACAAACTTTACGCGCACACACACACACAAAAAAAAAAGAATATACAGAGAATGAAAGACGTCTCGCAGCCCCTCCCCTTCTTCCATACGCTCCCACGCCCCCTCACCAACAACAACTAGAGCTAACAAAACGCAAAAACCATTAAAAAAACAAAACTCGGATGCCACGCTGTCTCCCGCGCCCCCCGTGAATTCGACGAAGCGAAACCCCTCAATTACTGGGGAAACTCGCTAAAACTGGAAACCTACACCTCCGTATCGAAGCGAAATATAGACAGCACAAAACGGAGCACATTTTTAAGGCGGGAAAAAATACTTCTATAAAGGTTTATTCACAAAAAAGTGCTTAAAAATAAGAAGAAAAAAAACACTTAAAAACATAAGGTGTATATTATTACACTTTGCACGGGGGTACACAGTCCCGGATATTCTTACCGAGTGTAGCCCCATACTCCACATCCCCCGTTTCTTCGTGCGTTATGTGTCGAACACAACGACGAAACCAAACAAAAAAATGAAAGTATTTGGTCTCACGATGGAGCTACGTTTCTAAGAAAACAAACGGAGAAAAATATACGAAAAAAGAATGGGAAAAAATATTTCAGAGGTGGACAAGGCATGGCCGAAAGAACATTCTAAACAAACGCGGGTACCACGTGCGAATAAATTCTTGGCAGATTCGTGGTAGGTCTGAGCAAATAAACGATAAAAAAGCAATAATAATAATAAAAAGGAGTGCTATGTATATACAGATTCCACACCCTGAGAAAAACTCGGCAGCAGGCGGCATAACAACACTGCCAGCTCTCTCAAAATAACACGCGCGCAATGATAAACATGGAGTCGTGTGCAGAAGCTCGAGAAACACGGCGAGTGACTCCGACACCAGTTTTCGTTTGTTGCGTTATGGTTTTCCTCTGCCATGTGGTGTGGAATTTATATATATATATAAAAAATAGAAACGAACTCCCAGAACCTTGTAAATTTAAAGGAGGCATGAAAAGCGAGAGCAAAAACGTGCATTGTTGGCGATAAACGCATCACAAATAAAATCCGATATATGTGGTAGTATCTTACTCGCGATTTCGCCATTGCGGCGCCGAGCACCACAGCTTCCACTACGCTTTTTTTTCTTTATTTTTTTTACCGCACGAATGAAGTCGCAACTGCAAAATCGCTAGTAAAATCGCACCTTGCGAATCATGCATAACGATGCTATCGGTAACGTTTTAATTTCTTTTCCTTACCTTGGTAAGGTGCTCGTTACTAATTCGAAACACGACTAAGGTACTTCCGTTACTATATTGCTAACGTACAGAAGGACACTACTCGCCACATTTCAACGCTAAAACATGCACGGGGTAAAAAATATACATATATATTTTATTTGTTTTATTGAGATGTTCACACATGCTTCCTTGTCATGAATATTTACACAAAAATCTGCTGATATTTACACTCTTCCCATATTTACCCTAGAAGTCCTGGGAAAAAAAAAAAAAAACTGAGAATAAAAATAATCAGATAAATAAGCGCAAACAAAAAAAATAAGAAAAATACACAAGGACAATGAGGTAGACTAACAAGGGCGCCCTTGTTTTTCTACTTCGTTGTCCCTGTGTATTTTTTTTTTTTTTGGCGCTTACGCAATTGATCATGAAGCAACTGACCCAAATTGCCACTTTAATAAAGATGAACGTTTGTCACATCTCTAATGTAAAAGTTATATGAAGTACGTTTTCTTTTCGAAAATAAGAGTAACAGCCAAGTAACGGGTGTTGGCATTTAATGTAACTGTAACAGTAACGCGATACTCTTAGAATAAGACAATGTAAGGCGGCAACGTGTTTCTGCCTTTTTTCCCCCGCAAATAGCGTGTATTTTATTATGATTATATTGCAATTAAATGCAAAGGTGCCAGTGAGCTGGACACGAATGACGAAAATAATCCCTGGAGAAGGGGAACAAGAGGGTCAAAGTACAAACTCTTGTTCTCCTTCGCCAGGGATTATTTTCGTCATCCTATTCTGTTACTTTTTTTAATGCATATACAACAATAAAAAAAACTAGCATTCAGTATGTTTATATTTTATTATTGGAGAAACACTGAACCACGACCTTTTTTCCCCCCAAGTAGAATTGGATATTATGTAAGCCCTAACAAGCAGACAATATACAATGGCAAAAGCAAAAAAATATATATCAAATCTCTAAAACACGTTCACGAAAGAAATACAAAACACAATTAATAAATAAAAACAGAAAGAATAAAGATAGGGACGGACAGAACAACAACAACACTGTCCGTCCCTATGTTTCTTCTTTCTGTTTTTATTTAACTTCACCAACGCGCTCACGTCGAACTAAATGACAGTTTATAACCGAAACAAGAACACACCGTAGGAAAGCATATTTCTTTAGGCCTCAGAAAATGAAAGCTACAGAGCACAAAAGTACAGTCGCGTCATAATACCTGTTATGGTCCAGTCTTCGGGACTTGGCCATTCGAACACAGGTAGCAGAACTCCGTTATAACACTCGCTGTTTTTCTTTCGCATTCTTCATCCGGACCAATCGGGAGTGCAATTTACCTCCAGGAGAGTTACTGTCAATTAGGGAGGATGTATTTACGGAAGGATTTAAAGTTGTATTCAGGTGTAACAACCTATTTTTCATTAGTGTTTTGTGTTTGTATCTTGTAAACGTGTTTCATTGTACGCATTGTTCTATATAGCCGTCTGCATAATGCCTAACGTCGCAGCAGGTATTGTTTGAATAAAATAAATAAATATAATTGGATGATGCATTTTGGCATTTTACCTGTTCCATCGAGTCGCCAGTAGCAATCATTCTCCTTTATGCACAACTAAGGCACCTAAAATACCGAGAAATCAACCCGCGAACCGGTGAACTAGTGTCGTTTCTAAAACCCGAGATCAAGAAATAAAAAAAATATTAGCAGCGACATTAGCCTGCAAGCTACTACAATCCATGAAATGCAATGTAGGGAATTGGTGCGTCACACGACGTATATTTTGATGCTAGATTTAGCGGGAAAACTGTATGGTTGCATAAGTCAAGTTGACGTCAATTTTCCCGGCTACATTTAGCGGGGAAACTGGATTCGTGTCTGGGTCTCCCAGACGCAAATTTTCGCACTAAATTTAGCGGGTAACTGAGTTGGTGTATAGGTCACGTTACGTGAGTTTCCCGCTAAATTTAGAGAGGAAACTGAATGGAGCTTTTGGCCACAAGACGTGAATTCTTCCGCTAAATTTAGAGGGGAAACCGAGTTGACGATAGGGTCACGTGCCTTCGATTTCCCCAAGGTGCACAGGTCACGTGGCGTTAGTGACGCCACTTTATCCGCTAAATTTAGCAGAAAATGCACGGACGAACGGAAGGAAGGAAAAATCTTGGAATTTTAGGGTAGCGTTAAAAAGCATTTTCTTGCTTTAAAAATTACACGCGTTACCGCGATGAGAAAATCAGCATACCCATATTGGCGGACCTCTGAACGTCTGCACATTGTAAGGGGCTCTCTCTAAACCAATAGCCTTCGAGCCACCCTGAAGATACGCGACATAGACTGAGTATGTGGCTGGCTGTAAGGAATTCCATATCTCTTTGTTTGGGTTCAGATCCCTACATTTTGACCTCAGAGAGATCAGACATAGATCACCGCCGAATTTCTGTTCGGAACTTGTTTAGAGCTATTTTTCACCTTGCACGTCCAATTCGGGAGTTTTCACTCTCAGCCTACATTTCAATGAAGAAATACACGAATGCTTCCGGAAGTATATGCATTGCCCCATAATATCGAGTCCGCATAACACTCATCTCAATGCATCGGTAAATCCAACATCCCTTCCCCGGCGAGCCCAACCTCGTCACGCGGTACCCCAACGCGACCGGTCCTTCGAGCCGTCCCCCTCAAAACAACTCTGGAAGCATCCAGAGACAGACGACCCGCCACAAGACCTCAACTAAAAAAATGACAAACCCGAAGCCAAAACAGGCTTTTCGAAACCGACCAATCAGAAGCCGACCCCACCGCGGCCGCCACCAAGCCCCCCCAGATGGCGCCACTCCGCAGACCCCCTCCCCTTCTTGCTCTCCCCCTCTCCCTCCCCCCCAACCGAAAGCGTCCTCCTCTCCCCGTCCCAAAGGAGGCACCGGCGTTGCCGGCGCGACGCCGACTCCCTGTCCGCTCAGTCGAGTGCGGGCTCGCTCCGCGCCGAACATGGCTTCCCCCGACGCCGCCACGGGCGCCCTACTTCCCGAAAACTTGTCGGTCAGCGGAGTGGTCCTACCGCCGCCCCCGCCGTACCTGAGCGCCAGCGACAGCCGCGGTTCCTCGTCCCCGTCCACCCACGACCTGCCGCCACCGCTCCCGCCGGCTTTCAACGCGGCCGCCCTCTGCGATCAGTTCTGCTCGGTCATCAACGGGTTCCGGGGTCTCGACCCCTTGTCCAACGCGAGGCTCAAGAGTCCCTCGTCGAGGTCCGTGGCCGCCGACGCGACGGACTGCAGGCTCATCCAGTACCGCGGCGAGAAGATCGCGGCGTTCGCGTACCGCGGCGAGTACCTGCTCTGCCTGCCCCAGGCCTTCGAGCTGTTCCTCCGGCACCTGGTGGGCGGTTTGCACACGGTGTACACAAAGCTCAAGCGACTGGGCATCAGTCCGATCGTGTGTAACGTCGAGCAAGTCCGCGTGCTGCGGGGTCTCGGGGCCATCCAGCCAGGGGTGAATCGCTGCAAGCTGCTCTCGTGCAAGGACTTCGACGCGCTGTACAAGGACTGCACCACTGCAAGGTGAGCAGCGGTCGCTTGCGTCCCTTCCTTCTTCACCGCCGCCCGGACCACTCGCGATGGGCGATGACCACAGAGTCGGACATGTGCACGTTGCTCATATCAAGTAACCAAAGCTCCTTACTGGTTACTCACTCAAAAACTAAGAACGTTACTCGTTGCTGCGATTCAAAAGAAACGCGTTAATTTAGCTTTAAAGTAACGCGCTACCTTCTCGTTGCCCTAAATGTGTCGTTTCTATGAAGCATTTGTCGTAGTTCATAGTTCCTCTCTTTTTAGCGCGTTCATTGAGGGATAACTGTGGCTATAATATACCTTGATAACATCTTTTTGCGGTCCATATAGCGTTTTCTCGTCGTGCAAAAAGCAGGCCCGAACTGTGGGGAGAAGTACGTTTGGTTACATGTGTGGTAGACTTTCCCCTATATAGGTAACTGAATACCCTTACTCGTTCCTTCATGGCAAAGTACCGAAAATACGTTATTTTTTTCCCCTTAAAACGTAACTAAGTCGTTACTTCGTTAAAGAAAAAAAAATAACTAGGAACAAGTCACGCGTTACATAAAAGCTGGGGCAGAGTCATTATTGAGATCTCTCTCTAGCGAGTTTTATTCAAACATACATTGATGTGCGTATTGCTAGTTATATTAGGCAGAAGAAAGCGATCACAGCGTTTTTACTTCCTTTCACACTCATGATATTTTTCTGTTGTAGTGTGCTTCCCTGTCTGGAAGTTCAATACCCGCGAGTGAGGTCGATATAAATCGTAGACATCTCAATATTAAAAAAAAAACGACAACTATACGACGAACCCAAATATTTGGCTATACCGCGTGTTTCCGATGTGTGTCACATGTGTGCGTGACGAACATGAGCATTTCCGTGAGTCGTTTGAAGGGAAAACTGCCCCAACCCAAGGTGTAGTGCGGGCCGATACGTTACATTTTTTTAATGGTGAGCTATTAGATCGGGCACACATCCATTGAAATTATCGTATATTGTAGAGCACCAACCACGGACCGCATGACCGCAAAAAGCTACATTTCTTCATCTTAGATGAAGGTGATGGCAGTCGGGAACGCGCCGGTTTCCGTGTGTATTATATAGCTTGAGAGGATTCAAAACGCCCGGATTTGAAGTTATTTCTTCCTGTGCGGGATTCGTTAATATGTATACTCTCATTCCATTCGTTTTCGTGAAGTGGGATAAATACAAGCTTCGTTTTTGTGAGGCAGATATTACCTGTACATTCCTCAAATTGAATTTTACTAGATAATATTTTTAACAAGAAACGCGTTATGTGGTAGGTTAATCAAATTATACGGATAAAGGCAGTTTGGGTCGCTTACAACATCACACCAATGGTGCCTTTTTATTTTTTATAAGCGTTTGTACTTTTTAAAAAAAACATTCGATGATTTTCTTCCTTTTTTTTTCGTTGAGCTTAATTGGTAAAGTTATCTGAAACTGTTAGCAGAATTGGGTGGGTTTATCTTTCTTTCAGTATCCGAAACGCGTAAGTGATGGTATGTAAAAAGAAATACGTGTTCTCCTAGTAGGCGTTACTGCGGTGTTTTGTTCATGAGAGCAAATTTATTCAAGGGAGATCAATGCACGACACTATCTGTTTTTATTAACGGATAAATATAAAAAATAAAGGTAAACATCCGATTTCCCCACTTCCGTTCTCATTGGTCAGCAATGTCAAGCGTTGACGCGAGCAGACTTCGTGTTTCAGTATTTGAGCTTGTTATTCCAACTCTTACTACGTTTGTACTTTCGACCTTCACCTTGTTGCGATTGCAACCGTCCGCTAACGTTGCCAGGACACAAAAGTAACGCTCACCATTATACCGATGCAGTAGCGTGGGAGTTAGGACAAAACCACCGGCAAAAGTGTTTGTATATAAAAACTTGACTTTTCAAATTTGTGCGTCTTGAAGGAATTGAAACTTAAACAGAAGACGGGGGGCAAGCGACACGCGAGAACACGATTTCCATGCACTCATCGCGCGCTCTGACTACCACCAGATTCGGCCCCCTGTCCGTGTCTATATTATATTACATAGAACTCTATCTCAGCTGTAATAGCTGAGACCTTAAGAAATGTAGAGCGTGTCGAGTCCTGAGAATCCTAATAATGCTCCTTCAAAAATTCCCTGCGATTTTCTTAAACTTGTGTTCACGGTCGCTTCGTCACCAGCACACAATACCAGCCTCGCAAATTTTGTAGCTTCTATGCTTTTCTTCATTAACTTCTAATCTACCTGTTGGGAGTAACTTTTAATGAATTAGCCGTTCATAAGCAGGTAAAATAAACGAATAAGGACCCCAACTTTGTTCCTGATTCCATTGCCGTTTATTTCTACCTCGCAAAGTAGATTAGTTTTTTATTCGAGTATTTATATGTCAAGTCTTGTCTATATGTTCATCCGTCTCTACTACTATACAACACGCGAGGTTCATTGAACCATATATACATTTTGGCGACTGTGCCATCCCATCGTGTACTTTTCATAAATCCATGTATGAATTTTTAACATAATTTTTTATCAAGGCTGAATTCACTTTTCTATTTTTTTAACGCAACCGAATATATGCAAGTCACCGAGCGAATGTAGTGATATAGGTATCGGTGTTGTGAAATAACCCCGTATGCCATTTTCTTAGAGTCCAAAACTCTTTAAGTTCGAACCTAAATGCATTAGCTCGAAATCTAATGTTGAATATATTAACGGTGTGTATGTCTATTCTATCTCTCTCTAATTCTTTTATGTTCAGCTGGCACTATATATATATATATAGCAATGAACCAACTAGCTCAGACTTAAGCCGTCATAAATATAATGTTCAATTTTAGGCACCGCAAGTGAAAATATACGCGTTAACAGACGATCATTTTCCTCTAACGCAACATCATTAGCACATCAACTTTCGGAATTCCTACTTTGATAGTGATTCTTTCCAATTTCACATTTGTCTCCGTCATTTCTCGACAGCAGGAGTACAAAAGAAGCAATATTACCGTTCCTCCATCTGTTTCGTTTTTTTTTTTTTCTTCCTTTTTTATGGGACATTAGTTGAGCGCAGGATGAAAAAGAAACACAGTGAGCGGTTTACGATTCACGCCAAAGGCTGTTCTTCCCTACGTAGTATAATTGGTATGAACGGGGTGAAAGCAATGCTTTCAAAAGCAGTTCGTGGAAATTCAGACATCGACCGATTTGGTTCAGGGACGCAACGCAGCGCCGTCACTTTCAGCTTGCCTGTTCGCGATCAAAGCGATCCCAAATAAATAAGAGAGAAACTGCAATTCCCTCTCAGTGAAATGATGTTAGAAACACTTAGGCGTTCCAGGAAAACACGTACCCCACGGACAATATGAGCTGAAAAGCTCGACCTGGCTGCTTGATACGCGCGCGGTCTCCTATGCACGCTCAGTTTTCTCTCGACCTGTCATAAAGAGTAAAGTATATTCGTTACAGAAATTCGGTAAAGACGCTTAAGACTTGATTACTTGTAGGAATGCGAAAGCATTCCTACGCGCAGCGCATTCCTACAAGCTGCGCGCCACTTCTTTTTCACACAGCGCTCCAGCGGTTACATCAACCTCTCCACTGCGCAGGCGCGGTGAACCCCGACGGCTTCCATGACGAAGCGTCTGCGTTGCTGTTTTTTTCTTTGTGTTTTATTTCTGAGGCGCGTCCATCTTAGCCAATGGAAATTTAGGTGCCGTTTTTAGCCGACTTCGCTCCATAGGACATTTAATGCTTTCGTATTTATAATCTAAATATGAGATTGCTCGATGCTTACGCGGTTGGTACAGAACCAACCAGGTAAGCTTCAAATGTCCGTGCATTTGAATAGTACAATGTCCAACACTTATCAGTAATATCAGGAGTGCCTCAGTGGTCTACTCTTTTACTGGGCCGCTGTTATTCAACCTATATATCAGTGAGATTAGTCGAAGGATTGAAGCTATACAGCCGATGCCTGTGAGTTTTCTTTCGTGGAGAGAACGGAAACAGGCAATCGGAACTGCAAGCATTATAACGATTCCAGCGAATGAGGAAGCTCATAATACAAATACGCGAAAACAAAAAACGATATGCGCAAAGACATTGGTCACGACGTTTGGCCTCATCGTCCCGGAGCATATTGCATTTTTTAGGTCTAAATGCATTCTGAGCCACGTCATTCCATAGAATCCTGGTATTACGTGTCGTGATTGAATTTACGTTGGCCTGGCGACCGGCAGTATGGTCAAAACAAATAAATTAAAACCAAATATCTTGATTTAAGCTTTCGTGTTTTAACCAGAGCGTCCCCAAAAAGTGGCAGGTACGCCAAATGAGCACGGAGTTTTGTCGCGTATATTGTCTGCGATGAAACGTGCCCCATTTTTCTGATACTTTCTTTCTAGATTTCACTTCTAATTTAAATTATCGCATTGGTTTGTGGGGAGTTTATGCACAACAAGGCATTCCTAACGAATCGGGTGACTGACGTATCCAGTTAAGAAGCTAATCACGCAGCCTATAGAGAGAGGCACCGCATTGATTCTTCGGAAAAACACCGGACAGCAAGTCGACAAAAATATTTTCAAGAATGAAGACCCTACAAAGAATTCACAAAGTAATGGTACCATATCGCGTTAATATGCTCCCACATCGCCTGTGAGGAAAAAAAAAGTGCACTGCCTTTTACGAAGAAATGCAAAGTTCAGAATACTCGTGTGTAACATTTCACACGCCAGAAACGTTTTTTGAACTTTCGCATGTTTGTTTCAAAAAGATATCGCTCCAATCGGGGGTCGGTAGAGTATTGAGAAATAAAAGGTGCGAATTAAACGTAATTGATAAAACAATTTCTAGGTGCTAATGTCCAATTTACACAGTAGCGTTGGAATGAGTTTATCTACGTTTCGGGGGTTTACGTTAAGGTACGGCTGTGATTTGCAACCAGATTCTGCGTCGCTCAATGGCCGCGGTAGCTAGCGATCG